TAGGAATACTCACTAAATATGTTCAGTTTTGAAGACGACTGCATCTAGTTCTTCTGCAGATCAGGCAATAACCCACCAGCATGGAAACCTACAGCGTAACCTAGCCACAGGAGCTTCTCATCCTTCTTCCCTTGCTTCTTCAGGGAGGTGCTGGGGAGAGCCTTACCTCGGTAAGCGAGGTATGAAAGTGCAGTCCCCATGTAACAGCCCAGAGTCTAGCACGGCTCGGCTTTAACCTTTGAAACGGCTGCTCTGGCAGCAGCGTTAACCACGTCAGTCTCTCCCTCTCCTCCTTCCAAACATTTTATCTGTGCTACTCTGCATTTCCATTTATTTCTCCACCTGGCACCCCTCAGCCATTTTTCTTTAGAGAGAAGGTAAATGCCCTGTTTTGTTTCCCTGTGGATTTTGAAAATGTGAATGAAGTGAAGCAACAGGCTGGGAAGCAGAAATAGAAAAGCAAGTGACCACGAGTGGAAGCGATACAGGCGCTGATTGCAACCAGGCTCTCCAGCTGAATGAAAAAATAACTCCCTCCCCCAAGGAGATATTTTAAAAGCTGAAAGCTAAGAACTTAAGTACAAAGGCTTTTGTGTTTTTATTGACATTGTAAGAAACTTTTTTTTCTTTGTTACAAAAGAGCTAAGTGGTTCTGAAAGCAGAAGTACAGTTTATATGTACACAGTGCTACAGACCCTTCAGATCAACCTAAGGCTCAAGAAACATCAGATCATAACTGCAGGTTTATCAAACGAAGACCACTAAGGCCCATTAGAGCTGAACACTATTCCTACTGTATGTAAATGTATTTACACATTTTTTCTTTTAAAAAAACGATTACAAGCTTTATAAAAAAAACTTTAAAAAAAGTGGAAAAAAAAATTAACACATTTTTATCTTACACATCTGCAGGACTGACAACAGTAACTGTTCCATAGGAGACACTCCACCAACCCAAGGACAATAACACATAAATACCAGAGGTTTACAAGACATTTCAGACACTATTAACAGTGATATGTGCTATTAGCTGAATGGAGAGTATAGCCTCATCAGGAAAATTTGGCAACACATCTTGGTCCCTCTTTTTTACAGGATCAAAACAAAATAAGGCACATACATTGTGAGAATACAAATGCTGCTGTTCAGAAGGACAAGCCATTGCTCAACAGGTGTGGCAAGCTGACCGGCCGTGTCATCGAGGGGGGTGAAAGTTTGTGTCTGGGAGGGGGGAAAACAAGACTGGGAGTGAGCCAGCCAGCACCCTAACACGTGGACCATTTAGGGCAGTTCTCCAAGAAATTAGTAATATCATCTGCCATGTGCAGGTATGGGACCATTGTACTTGTCAGCAAAGCCCCCCTGGAAGCCTGGTGTCTCCTCTGCGAAACCATCTTTCCTCCACCCAGGCATACCTGACGGGTGAGCTCTCATGGGTGACTCACACTTAGTGGGAAGCAAAACTGCCTGGAGAAACGTGCCCACTTTGGGCAGGCTGAGATGGGCAGATGCACCCAAGGCCAAGGGTAATGAATCTGGAAGACCCTCACAGAGCCACGAGAAGAAAAGGTGGATTAGACTCAGGCTGCTTTAAAAAATAGGAAATTCACAATGTTTTCTGTGTACTCTAGGGTGAGCAGTGGGTTTCCAACTACTATGGCAATGCCAACGGATGCACGGGACAAAAATGCAGAGCTTTTGGCTCACAAAAAGAGCTTTGGCTCTGTAACTGGAAGAGCAGGAGTAGAGGGGTGCCAGTGAACATGTGAGCAATGATGGTGGGACTTTCCCCAAAGTGTCACATATTGAGAACGAGGTCAACCAGTGAACACTGGTGTCCAGCCTAACAGTGCCATGCTCAAGTGAGCCCCGCCTACCTTATCAAACCAAAACCAAAACCCAAGATAGCCATGCTGTGATGAAATGCTACCCACACAGGTACCAACACAGGTCTTTTGTATAGACCAGAAAAGCATCAGAAGATAATAAAAGCTGCAAAGTGGCATGTAAATGCAAGTGGCACATACGCTCCATCATGAAAATGATAAAACCATCTCCACAAACTCCCTGAGGATGCAGTGGAGTCTCTGGTTCTTCAACTTCACCGAGTCAAAACGGGATGCCTTTCTGGAGCATGTGGTTTCAGCCAAGACACGTTGTTGGCCCAAGATGGGGGTAAGTGAGTGACAAAGGTTTGTCAAATGCAGGAAGGCAAATTAACTACTCAGTCTCCTTTAGCCTTGAGCAACGTGAATGGTTCCCTCTAAGCTGTGATGGATCACATCTGTTAATAGCTTCCCAGCTTCAATTGGACCAGCAAATACAATTATGAACTGGAAAATAGAGCTTAAAAAATAGTTTGGTTGGGTGTTTTTTTTAATGTATTGGCTCTATAACAATAAAGGGCTTCTCTTCCAAGCCACCTACTCCCAAGCTGGTCATAAGTCTCCCTGCTGAAATTGTTTATAAACATGTAATTGATGGCTTAATAAACAGCCAGTGATTGGTTACCGAGAACCATCTGAAACACATCCAGCACAGCCTTTCCTCATACATACGCTGCTGTTTCTCCACAGGGGTGTGAGCTGTATCGCAGTGCTGCGATGTCCGGCCTGGCCACTGAAGCATTCCTCCTCCCCTGGTGTCCTGCCCGGCCGGAGGCATCTCTCCTTGCCTTGGCAGCGTGACAGGGAGCAGCTCCTCCACATCGTGACAGCAAGCCAAGCCTTCGCCCTGGTGAGCTGTGCCCGACTACCTGTGAAGCCCAGGGACCACAGTAGTGGAGCTGGTCATGGGCAGAGGAACGGGCAAAAAGCAGGCTGGGACGATAGTGAAAGGCGATTTCTGACATTCCAGCTCACTGTGCAAATCACTCGGTACGTGCTGTGATAAGCCCAAATATGGCCACAGCACCAGATTCCTATG